TTTAAAAGCGAAAAATAAGTAATGTCATCGATTTCTATAGAAAATACCACTTTGCTTCATCCGCAATCCCACCACATAACATGTGTGATATGGAAAAATGCCTGGCCTTCCTTGAAATGCATACTTGCCCTATGATCCAAGAGCAATATGGCGTATAAGTTTACGCGCCGAAGTTATTCGCAGTCCTGTCATGTTTCTGCAATCTTGGTCATACTTTTCCTTGGGTCGTTGAGCCTTGATGATACGAGACAGACGTAAGGCTTTTGTAATTACTTCGATTTGACATCGGTATCGCGTAGATACACGAATACACGAACACACTTACATAAAAATAGCACGAATAGTATGAAAGAGAACTAGTTGAATCATTCAAAATCTATTTATTTCCGTTTTTAGTTAAGAATATTTATAAAATATAAAATACAGCCAGACAGTCTTATTGGCTTGGTGTTTAACCCGCGAGAATTTGCTAGAATGAGTTTCAGCTCTGATGATATCCGTCGAATGACGGCTGAACACTCAATACGTTTACGCCCAAAACGAGGGAGGACTGCTCGTGGACTACGTCAACAGGAAGGTCGTATAAAATCTGAACGGACACAGAATAACAAGAACTAATGATTCTCTTCGCTGTGCACTTTCATACGAATTGAAAATCTCCTTTCTTAAAGCATTCTTCGAAACCCGTTTAATCTTCGCACCATCATGATTCTACACTTCATTTGTAAACCGACTGTCCAATGCATTTCGCTGCATTCCCAAGCCACCTCGTCAGCCTCAGTCCACAGAGCCTGAAGCTCCATTCGACGCATAATTTTCACTTCACGTGGCACATTTTGCACTATTTTGGTGCAAAAACACTCATTCTTACTGGCCTGTTCATGTCGTGAGTCGTAAATATCAAAATGATCTTACCTAGTTTTGCGTACCAAATAAATAGCATCATTGTCTGCTAGTTTAACTTAAAAATCATTGTTATCAACTGAGCACAGATGATGGTATGATCCGCCGTAATTGGTATCACTTTTCTTACAACTCTTGTATGTCTCCATTCACAATTCCGATCAGCTACTCACTGGCACTAGCTCTGATCAGACATCAAGGTGGCAATGTTAATAAATATATCATTATTATACGGATTTTATGTAATAATCATTATAACTATAATAATCGTTCGCTAACTCAGCAGATTCACTTTCTATGTTTATGAGAGTTGCAATCTCAATTGGATGCCTCACGATACCTCCGTAGGTGTTCAGAAATGTTGGTATTCACTTCAAATTGTGAACTGCTTTTGTAGCGCAAGTTCGTTTGCCAGCTCATTCTTGTTGCCGCAGCGAAATGCGTCGCCAAAGCCCTCTTCATGCCTCGTGCACGGAGATTTGCCCATTAGTAAGTGTTTAAAACTTGTTTTTCCCAATCGGCCGTACGGAAAGACAGACTTGTGAGGGTGCAACCTCTTCGGAGTCGGAATGTACAATTGGCGCATTTTCATGGTCTGACGCTGAAAACGATCATGGCCACTTTGGCAGAGGATTCCAGACATCTTGGCTTCGGACAATACGACCAACTTACGAAACCGAGATCAAGACACTTTTGCTTGACGAAAATAGAGAACGCGACCCCGAAGGAGGCCACACCCACTTGGCCTTCACACTTCCGATTCATCATTTGAGAGGATGACTTTTGGGCAAAAAACTTCTTTTGCAACATCGCCACTTCGCTCAAGCATAGGCAACTCATTCATGTTTACACTCGAGCAGAGGCGAGGGACAAAAAAAACAATGTTTCATATCCTATTCACATTCTCAGGTGACGAATAAGAAGTAAAAGAAGAGGATGCTTCTGAAGTATGCGGGGTAAAAGTGCGAGATTTCGTGTCTGACTATTCGATTCGCACTGACCTCGTGGTTACTAAAACACAAACCGGAAGAGGCGTGGCCTCTTCGACACTCCGAATTATCTTTCCTGCCACTCACAATTGCACGGCAATCAAGAATGATGATGTTGATGATGATGATGATGATGATGCCGATACTGACGGCTACTGATAATAGAAAGACTTACTTTGATTTTGATGCCGATAATGAAGATGACGAGAAGGATGGCGAAACCTTATGTCGGGCGACCTTTTATCGCAGTACAACTGCATCTGCATCGCGTTGGCTGGCGAAGAGGGAAACAAAGTTTCTCGCCTTTTATGCTCAAAGTAATGTTGATTATAAGAAGGTGGGTGCTGAACAGTAGCTGCTTCCGCCGATGGCGGTAGCACTAATGAATAGACTCACGTTGAGGCTAATGCTTCTCAGTGCTGCTGCTG